TCTACAGGGTGTTCAGGGTCTCACTACTAGATTGGACTCGTAGTGATCTACCTGTTTACAGATGCCCAAGAGCTGGGATTACAGACATGCGCCACCACACCCAGTCTTAAAATAAATTTTTTAAAAAGTAAGAAGGACAAGAAAAAATTTATGATTTACTGAAAGCAACTGTTTAACTCAGCGTACTGAAGTGCCTGCTTAGGCACAGTGCAGCAGCCAGGGTTTGATCCCCGGCATGCTGTGCTGGCCCCGCCCCCGGGGAGGGCTGAGACTGTGATTGAGATTAGGTGTGGTGGCTCGCGCCTATAATGCCAGAGCTTGGGAGGTTGAAAACAGGAGGATCACTGAGTCCGTTCTACTTAGTGAGACCCTATACACCCTGTAGATCCTGTAGACCCTGTACTAAGTAAGTAAGTAAGTAAGTAAATAAAAAAGAGAAAGCAAGTGTTAATGTTCAATTGTTTGTCCAATCTTGCATACCTATATCTGTTAATCTGAGCAACAGAGTTGATGATAAAAATATGTAATATAACAACTATTATTAATTGGCTATTCTTGTTTTGAAATTCTACACCATATGTATTGTTGCATGCTACTTTGCTTCTGTCCTTGTTTTTGCTATATGTTTATGCTTTTGTTTCTGTTCATACTCTTTAAAATAAAATAAAATTTTAAAAAATGGAGGAGGAGGAGGCCTCAAAAAGCCAGTTTGTTCCTTCCACCATGTGAGGATGCAACAAAAATATGTTATTTGTGAACCATAGGGATGATCTTAATTGGAATCTATGGTTATCTTGGATGTCACAGTTTATGTCTATTGCCTATAGGGCATCCTGTTTAGGGTATGGTGTTGGAGCAATTCAAATAGACTATGCTCTCTGATGCTTGGAAGGCTAATATACTTGAGTTGAGCATCAAAGTTCCTGATGCCATCTAAGTGCGTGTTCAGCTCATATTTGCATCAAGAGTAATAGGGGTAGGGCTGGGGAGACAGCTAAGTAGAATAAGCACTTGCCTGGCAAATACAAAGTCCTGAGTACTGAAAAAAAAGAGTAATGGGGGAAGCTGGATGTGGTAGTGCACACCTGTAAATCCCAGGACTTGGGAGGCTGAGGCACAAGGAGTGCTGCAAGTTTGAGGCCAGCCTGGATACAAAATGAGTTCAAGTCTCCAGCCTGAACTGCATAGCAAGATGCTGCCTCAAAAAAGACAAAAAAAAATATTGGGGAAGTTTCACATACTGTGAAGGCAGCTAAGACATACTAACCCCCAGACCTGTTTGTCAGAATGCAGAATGGGGGTCATCAATGCTGCACAAGACACCTCAGGTCAGATTACAAAGTCATGCTAGGTCTTGCAGAGACACACACTAATTTTGAAACATACTGGTAAAAAAATTATCTTCCAGTGATCTTTTCAATACTTGCAATTGCACAGAAAAGTTCAGGTTAATACCTGGATTTCTCTACCATATATCTAATACTTAATAATCTCCCTCTTTAATAAAAGAGACAATGTACTCAGGCTCAATGCCGCACTTGAATAACAGTATCCACTGACATTTAGTGATGGGCTTTTTTATAGAATTTATTTTTATTCATAATTCTTATCTATAGTTAGTAGTAATGCTGCTTTATTTTACAAAACTGACAAAAATTTTCTTGAAAGAATTTATTAAAGTGAAACAAAATGAGAAAATTTAAAGAAAAATTGTGAGTAAATAGTAATGTTGGTGACGTGCAAAAGTAGTAATTATAAGGACAGTGACATTTGCATGTGTACAAACATATCATCTGTTCATTTTATATTTCAGTATAAAATCAAAATACTGATTTTTACTCAGTG